TTTGATGTCCTTAAAAGGCATTTAAAAAATTCCACGAACAAAACCTAATTTTCATGATTAAAAATCTATTAAAAAAAAAACGATGAAAATTCTGGAAATAAATAAAAACAAATCAGATTTAAAGTGGCATGTGATTCAGAAATTAAGTTGGTAATATTGATTACGAGAGGCCGTTAACTCTGGAATTAAAGTATACATTTTAGATTTTAATTGAAATTGTTTGGAATTATTTGCTAGTATTTGGAATTATTAAAATTATCCTTGGATTGTTTAGAATTACTGGATTTCTTTTTGGAATTATTGGAAATAATTTCTTTTGAAAATTACGTTGGAGTTCTTAGAACTATCAATATTAATTTGCAATTACAGTAATTATTTTGGAATTTAAAAATTAAGTTCGAAGTATTGTAAAAAGTGATCTGAAAACAATGGAATTACTGAAATTTTGATGGATTTTTTTGGAATCAGAATTAGTTGTAAGCATTTTTTTCAGTTAACGAAAATAAGAGCTCACTTTCTTCTGTCCATTAAATAAATAAATAATATATTCATTGTTGTCAATTTAATTTCAAAACCCCAGACCACTCTAATCGAAAATGTAAAAAAGTTGTAAAAATATACGTTGTTGATAACTATACTATTTGAACTGTCATTTTTAAATTTATTTCTTTAAAAAAATACAAAAACATATTATTATTGATATACAGGCTGCGCCAGAACTCGCGCCCCAGAGAAAAATGCTATGTAAGATAAGATACCAGAAACATGGAAAAAATGTTAAAAAAAATTCTATCTATAAAAATTTCGAAGTTATGAGAGTTTAAATTTTGCACTTTGACTTTATTTATGTCTGTTGGAAAAATAATTTTCCAAGTTTTTTTGCTACAGGCTATTAGAAGAGGAAACAAGGAAGCTGAATCCTAAATTGTAACTCTGTTTAATCTTATACGAGTTCATCAGTGTCACTAAATAGACATAAAAAAATGTCAAATGTCAAAAAATTAATATCAAAATTTTTTGACAGAATTTTTCCATATTTCTGGTATCTTATCTTACTTAAAATTGTTCTCTGGGGCGCGAGTTCTGACACCCCTGTACATACATGCAGTGTTTTTCTAATTATTTCCTAAACAATACAAAAATTGGAATTTTTCATTAACCTTATCTCTCAAAAGTCAAAAGTATTGCAAACTATGCTATTTTGAACCTGAAGATGCCTAAAAATACGAAACGATGATCTCCTCTGAACTGTTTACAAAAATAATTATTTATTATTATATGTTGACTTTCCAGTGTAACTTTATTCACTTCCGAATATAGTTATAGACAACATATACCTACATAACCTTGATCCACATGATTACACATGTAACATTTAATCGAAGAACGCTGTTCGTTCCTGATTAGTTGATAACAGTCACATGACCCGTTATTTCGTTAGTGTCGTTAAAATAACCTTTAATTTTTTTTAATTATAAAATTGCAAACATATATCTACTAGAAAAATTGATTTTCGAAACAATCGTGTCAAATGAAATATTAATAAAATAAATTAATAGACATCTTTTACAATAAACTTTTTTTATTTTACGGACAAAAAAATGAAAAATTGTGAATTTAATTAAAATTTCGGTGCTTGTACTAGGTTGTAAAAAATTAAAATTATACGCCAGGAAGCTCATTATCGGGCACCATTTATTTATGTTTCTATTTTTAAGTTCAAGGATCGAAATACTTGTTGCTAAATCCGTACCTTATGGACGATCTGTTCGCAGTCTTCGAGTACATCAGTCTGGCAAAGTTTGAGTACTTCAGCCGGAGGCTTATAATCCCTATACCCCGTGGGAGAGGGGGTGTTCTTCTGTCCTGAAACTCTCAGACTATCCTCTTGACTCTCGAACACGTCGTCGTCCATGCTATCGTCGGCTGCCATCCTGCCGAGACTGAATCGCAAGCTTCGAGGAAAACACATCAATACAACAACATACCGAATTGTGAAGTTCTCCTCGTCGCCACTTTAAATCGCATAGGGAGACTTTTTGGCCGATTTGGGGACACTTTTGCGCGATTTTAACCACTGAAGGAATTCAGGTAGCAGCCATGTTGATCCCCGTCGACCCACTCTGATAAGGACTCGCTAGGATCAATGAACGCCCACACACACCCAAAGCTCATTGAAGATTTCGACCAGACGCGAGCTTTGTGCGATACATTTTTGGTCGGGATTAAAGGGCTTTGATGATGGGGATTTTAAATTCAAATGGGCTTTATTCGATGAAAGAGTGAAGATTAAATTTATTGAACAAAAAATTACACGAAATGCCAATTTTCGATTAATTGAGGCCCACAAATTCTCACAATGTAATTTTTTAAGAGTAGCAAGTAAAATATTGAATGACAAATAGTTTTTGAGTTGTTATTGGTTGATTTTTCGTCGATTTTGGGACATTTCCGACAGATTTTTTAGAATTAAAAAAAAGTTCGTAAA